CACATGGCTGGGGCTGGAACTGTCCTACCATCATGGAGGGTGCCAGAGCTCCTTAAAATCTTTGGTACAAAACTGTTTTTAGCACTTGGCAAGCCACCTCCCCAGGCTTTGTGCCTGTGTGTTTGGTCAAGGGTCAATGATCTCAAACCGTGCAGAGCTAGCCTTGATGATTAAAAGACAGTGCTTACAGAAGAGACACTCCCACCCTCTCCCCCTGCCCCTGAGTCTTAGATTGATCCCTGGTATACAGCAGGATCACCCGAATTTGACCTCAGCTGAGGCCTGCTCATATAAATTTAATGAACAGAAAAAATAACATAGACGTTTGCTTACAACTGAGGAACTTGAAAGAGAACTCTTCTTCTAAAATTGCAGGGATCTCCATTAAGTTACATCCTAATATGCCTCCCCACCCCTGTCCCATATACAGCTATTCCAGGTCTGGTCATTAATGATTCAGGGATTAGCATCCCATTCACTCTTCATTATTCTGGCTATTTGAGAGCTAGAAAGTGAATGTGACCCTGGGGTGGGGTGTATGGGTGGAGAGTCTAGAGAGATGAATAAGGAAGAGACAAAAGCTTTGCAAAATAGGTTAAGTCCTAGAGCAAATGAGCAAACCTGAACCCTCTTAACTCTACTTTCCAAGCAGTGGGAAAGTGAAAGGGCCTCTCCCCATTCTGATCAAATATTGACCCTGTGCACTCACTGGCCAGAGTTCAGACTAAAGGGCCAGCAGCAGCTTGGAAGCAATGTTTGCAGAGCACTTACTTCAGCACCTTGTAGGTCAATTGTGAAACCACCTTTCATGGGACTGGGGCTCCAGAGAGCCTTCCCGTCCTTCCTCACTGGGGCCACACCCTGGGGAAGACACTCAACAGTGAAGGAGCTGTGTGAGGAAATGTAGAGAGACTGGAAATATGGTCCAGCCACCAGTGAGAAAGCACCTTAAGAGCATCTGTGACCCTTCACCCTGCTCTGTCCCCTTACCTGCACCCCCAGGTGATCTAAGCCCTTCCCAACCAAACAGGCCTCAACCTCAGGCCTTGCTCCTAGCAGGTCCCTAGGGGCAGGTCTCTTTCCTGGTGAGGTAAGGTTGAGTAGTGGACTATTTTTAGAAGAAACCAATTTCCACTTGGTGACCAAGAGTCTTTCCTCTTCTTGCTCCCAACTTGACATCTGAAATGCTCTTATTAGCCCTCTCTAGTAAATGACCTGTTTTCCAGAAGAGGTGTTTGGAATAGAGCTGTTGAACTGAATTGCCCCATCGATGAGGCAAATCATGGCGGAACACATTGTCCCGCTTCCTGTCGCAGACCTGGAAGATTTCAGAGGACCCCTGGGAGGAGGAAGAACACTCGGGAGGCCCTGGAGCCAGACCCAGCCTGCTGTGCATCCCAGATGGTCTAAGCAGCACAGTCCTGTGATGACAGAAACACTCAACATTTGCTATGACCACTCGCAATCAGCCAGTGTGACCAACAAGCTCAATTTAAAGAAATTAAACTTAATCTAAACATGTAATTGTAGAATTTTATAACTAATTTATTTTTTAAGATTTATTTATTTATGCATACAGAACTGGGGTACAGGCCAGAGGTGCAGGGGCGGTGAGAGGATTCACCAGAGACAGAGTGGGGAGCAGAACAGGCAGGTGGATGAAGAACACTGCTGAAGGGAGCAGCAGGCAGGTGAGGAGAGGTCTGCTACGCCATGTGGATCACCTCCGGGGTGGGGATCCAACTTGCACTAAAGCAGCTTCGGCTTGCTTGCAGTGCTGTGTCCTAACCCAGTGAGCCACTGGGAGGGCCCTTATAACAAATTTAAATGTAAATAGCCCCATGTAGCGGGTGTCTACCACACTGGACAACATGTGCCTAAACTCTCTGGCTCTGGGGCTGCTCACAGGGAGCAGGGGGGCCAGGTTCAGTGTGCAGCCCCTGTGTGGACAGGAGGCAGAACCACAGGGTCTAAGGCTCCAGGCAGAAGAGGGAGAGAAGGCTTGGGACAGAGCAGAGGGGCCCAGCCTGATGCCCCTGGAAATTTTTCAGGGGTGTTTGAATGATGAGAGAGATTATTAGAACTGTGTATAAACATGCTTAAGTTTGGGAAGCAAGGCTTTTATTAGAAGCACAAACACATACCTGACCTCAATAACAAAATGACCCATTGATCTTTCAGACAAAACTCATTTCTTCAGAGAAACCTACCTTGATCCTGGAGTGTAAGGTTTCCCTGAAACATGTCTATAGTACTTTTCTTTACATCACTTGAGATAGTATTACATCTATTTTTTAAACTAAAATCAACCTCCCTTCACTAAGCTATAAATCCCATTAGAGCCATAACAAGACCTGCTTTTACTCAACAATAAATTCCCCAGAGCCCATTATACTGCCTGGGCCACTCAGTATTGGACAGACTGAGCATGGGTGGATGGATGAAAGAATGGACTGACGGATAGAAGGCAGGGAGGCATAAATGAATCAACAAACATGAATAAATTAGAAGCATACTTTACCCTATAGTTCTCAAAATAACTAAATCTCTCCCAGGCCCAAACTGGAGTGAGGGTACAAGAATCTATTTTCCCCATGGGATGTAAACTCCTAGACGGTAGGGAGCTTGTCCTTTGCCTCTTCAGCCTGTGCCACTTCTGTCCTGCAAAAATGTTGGTGATCAATCAACTCCTCCCTCAAACTGGCCTGGCTCATCCATCTTTCTGCTTCTTTACCATTTACTGCCCAGGTAAGGCTGCAGAACTAGCAAAGGAAGATACAGGACACACCATAAAACATGAATTTTCAGATAAACAATGAACCACTTCAATATATAAGCATCCTCACACACTAGAATAAGTATTCATCCATGACTTTAAACCTTCAGATTTAACTGGACATCTTGTATTGATGTCCTACTGGGTGGGCACCATTTGATCTTCATTCAATTTAAAGAATCTGTCCAGAGCTGCACAGAGATGGAGCCAGTAAGCAGTCCCAGGCCACATAGACCCAGAGCTTCTGCTCCACTCTCACAGAACATCTCAGAAAACTCAGCCCAGAGGCCACCAGGGGCCAGAAAGACAGTTAACAATTGATTTTTTTCTTCCTCTAAAGCAATCACTAAAATCTGGTACCCTGATAAATTAGATAGGCTTTCCAAAATGAATGCCACGAAAGTTGTCACATCATGAGTTCTGTGAAATGGGTTCACAAAGATGCTATACTCAGCTCAAAGGTTAAGTTCCAAATAACCATCCCATCACCTCTCCAAGCTGCAGCTGCAGGGTGGTGATGCCCCACCTGGACAGACCCAGCCTGGCATCCTACCAGCTCCCAATACACAGGAAGTGTGCCCTCCGGGCACTGGAGAAGTAGGGGAGAAGCATTCCTCTCTTGTGAGATTCTGCAACTGGGGAGGGTGTGGGGGACAGAATTGAAAGGGGGGAAGAAAAGTTCTGATTTGAGAGCTTCCGCTGGCTCTCAGACCCCCTCTGGCTCATCAATGAGTCCATTCAGGGTTCCCTCTCTCCAACTAAGTTATCATTTCCTGTCCAGCACACTACCCCATTGATGGGCTATCAGCAAATCCCACCAGTTTATGCCAGAAGGACCAAGAGAGAGAGAGAGAGACAGGAATTGAGGGGGAAAGAGGAAGAAGACTGGAGGGTAAGGAGTGATTTTCAATCCCAAATTCAATGGGATATTCAATCCCATGTTGTTGGATTAGAGAGGATTTGTAATACAGGAAGCTGACTAGCTTTTGGCTCATGTCATAGGTAGAGCGATGAGGACAATGGATTCCTCATTGCAAGAGGAAGCACGAAGGCCTGGTCTCTCCAGGATCATCCCACCAAAGGTCTGCAAGAGGAGGGGTCCCTGGTGTGAGGGCCAGGAGTGGGTATCTTTTCTCTTGTGTTTTTATCAGCCTAAACCAGTCTCATGGCTCCTGAGAAGAAACTAGGACCTCTCAGCTTTCCTTTTCTGATATAGAAGGGTTGTTGCCCATAGTGATTCCGCCCTGTCTTTGCCTGCCTCTGATGCACATGGGGGATTAGTAGCAGCCGTGTCTGTGCTCCGTGGCCCAGGCTGTGCTGATTGGTCCAGAGAGGACACCTGACCCATGGAGGGCCAATCAGAGTCTTCTCTGAGATTTTTCAATTTGGAACTGGGAGAGAATCTCTCTGCTAGGAACCATATGCTATGAAATCCAAGAGCTGTTGACAGCGAAGTTCCTAAGGATGAGAAGTAACAGAAGCCAAAGACAGTGCCCAGAGAGAAGCAGGACAACACAGGGGAGCATGATCCTGGTTTCAGGTGTTCCCAGAGCTTACTGCATAATCTTCCCCGTAAGTCCCACCAACCAAGACTTTTTATTACCTAAGCTGGTATGAATATAAACTTATCACAAGGAGTCAAAAGAGGCCTACCCAAATTAGCTGGCATCCAGGGAAGTGAATGCAATGGAGCTGGACATCATCCCCCTGAGTATACATCCCTGAGTATATTGGAGACACACGCATCATAATTATGTGCAAATGGGACAGCCAGAGCCTCAGACAGACAAGGTGATATGCCCTTCTATAGTTCAAGAAGTTGCTTATTTTCTGTCTCAGTCTTTTCTGTGAGTTTGCTTTCCTTCGCCTGCAATGAAGTGATGGCTTGTATCCCCACCCTGGATGTCTACAGACTTGTCTGCTCATGCACACAGCATCCACAGCCATCCTCCCGCCCCTCCCCACTGGTTTCCTCCTGCATTCCCCCAGGCAAAGAAGGGTGACAAAGCATGACTATTAAGGCCATCTGAGGAAGTCAACAAAGCCCCAAGTGTCTGCCTACATCCAAAACACTTCTGAGCCCAGACAGACTAGGGAGATTCCCTCTCTGCCCCTGAGGATTCTGCTGGGGGTTCTCCAAATGAGTGGGGACATGAGAGGCCAGACCACCAGACTCGAGACTCAAGTCACTGCAAGTAGAACTGGGCACATTTGAGCAATTTACCTGCAGGTCAAAGAACTTGCTGTACCTCCTGTAGATGGTTTGGGACGTGGAGTCTGACCAGGTCACGTTGATGATATATACCTGTGGGAAAAGGTAAGAGCAGGTGATTACGATTGGGCTTCAAGCTGTACCATACATTAACTTTTACATTAACTTTGGGTCCTTCATGGCCAGGACCTCCTTTTTCTCCTCTGTCTCATGGCCCAGTGCAGTGTCAGATAACACACAGATATGGAATGCTGTACTTCCATATCTAAACATGCACACAACACACACAAATATAGCTAGCAGGACATTCAATAACATGTTAAAGGTGATTATTTTAGGAGGGTAAGATTATAAGCGGTTTTAATTTCCTTTTCATTTACATAGATTTTTTTTTTAAAAAAGATTTATTTATTTACTCATATTGAACTGGGGTACAAGCCAGAGATGCGGTGGGTGAGAGGATTCACCAAAGACAGAGTGGGGAGCAGAACAGGCAGATAACGAAGTACACTACTGAGGGGAGCAGCGGGCGGGTCAGGAGAGGTCTGCTCCATGTGGATCTCCTCCGGGGCAGGCGGGGATCGAACTCATGCAGAGGTGGCTTAAGCTTTTTCGTGCAGTGCTTTAACCCGCTGCGCCACCAGGGAGGGCCTCATTTACATGCATTTTATGCAATGAACATAAAATAAGAATTGTTTAAAAAACGTTTATCCCCACCGGTTCTCAAACTTTAGAATGAATGAGCGTCTACAAGGGGCCTTCCAAAATTGCAGGTGCTGGGGCCCCACTCTCTGAACTTCTGCACAAACAGACCTGGACTTTAGGGGTTCGGCATCTATATTTTGTTTTACTTATTTTCTAAAGTCTGTATAACACATGTTTAGGTTCTTAGCAAAACTGAACAGAAAGTACGGGGAGTTTCCACCTGCCTTCAAGCATACACAGCCTCCCCCACCATCAACACCCCCGCCAGAGGGCACACTTGTTAAAATCAGGTAGCTGTATTTTTAACAAACTGTGGAAGGTTATTCTGCTGCACTTGATCCTCAGAACTTACTTCAGGAGAGCGCAGGAATCGCAGGGATGCGTGATTCATCTCGGTAACCATGTTTGCTATCCTGAACAATCAAACTGACCCTTCAGACCAGTGCAGATTTGCAGGACAGATAGCAAATGGAAGATTTAGAGACTTTTCGGATGGAGGAATTTCAGGACCCCATTCCCAACGTCACCCTAACGCACAGTCAGGGTCTCCAAGGCTGTTGTCCCAGGACACCCCAGATGGCTTCCCAGCCCAAAGGAAGGCAGGACAGAAAAGCTGGAGGGGAAAGAACCCTGGCTACACATCAGGTCTACTGTTTCCAGGACTTTTCATCGGCTATGTAAACCCATAAGTAAGCCCATACCAAAGACACCCCCCTCTGGGAGAGGCCTCAGGATGAGGGAGTCACCTCACACAGCCTCAGGCTCTCCTGCTGAACTCCCCTCTGGGGCCTGCAGTGACCACCTCCAGGAACCAGGGTAAGGGGCGACACTATGAGATCTCACTGTCTGAGCACTGGCCTCACAGCGACGGTTCCTGGCCTGGATGCCAATCAGAATCATACAGAGGGTTTTGTAAAAACTCAGATTCCCAGGCCTCTGTCCGGGACTTCTGATTCAACAGCTGAGGGGGGAACAACAGCATGAGGAGAACAAATAGCCAGAGAAGCCAGGAGTCCGCCCTGGTGAGAAAGCAGGAACATGAGCAGACACGCCGGCACTGGGCTGCTCACCCTGCCAGGGGCTGTCTCACTGCTCCGGCTGCTCTGGCCATACACCATGGCTTTGGGGACTCAACCACAAATACTTAGGCTTACATTTCTGGAGCCTGGAAGTGCAAGATCGTGATTCCTAGTGCAGTCTGCTTCCTGGCTTTCAGACGATCGCCTTCTTGGTGCATCCTCAAATGGAGGAGATGGCCCCTCCTCTGCTTATGAGGGCCGTGTTCCCACCACCCATCTCAACTAACCCTGATTACCTCCCAAAACCCCCACCTCAAATACTATTGTATAAGGGGTTGGGGTTTTGACATGTAAATTTGGGGCAGACACAATTTTTCAGTTCACAGAAGGATTCTGTACCCAGGGGCATGAGGGTTTATATTAGGCTGCTTGTTAAAAGCCAGGAAACAAACACTGAACCCAGTGCCTTCTCCCATCTGATTTCTTAGCCTTGTACAGTGGGGAGTGTTTGTTCTCAAAGCCCTCGAGGAGAGTCATAAAGCAAATCAAACTTGGTTGAGTGATGCCAAACATGGGGTATTTATAGCATATTGTATATGATCCTGCTAAGAACATACAGTGAAAGGTCATCCCTATCTTCACATGTCCAAAATAAATAGTTGACTATTACCATATTAGACAGGGAGATGCTTTGTTTTATGTCATATGAAGACATACATCTCATACAATAAATGACAGAATCCGTCCATGTCCACACAGGTAAAGCCTTCATATGCATTACCTCATTTAATCTTCAGCCTAGTGAGGCAGGTGCCATTTTCTAAAGGAGAGTTGAAGGTCCCATATGCTAACTAATTTGCTCAAGGTCACACACCAATAAAATGCAAAGCAAAGGACTTGATCCTGAATCTAGCAGAGCCCAGCTCTTAAGCTCACAACCACAACAGACTATTTCCCTATATACGAATTTAAGAGAATTGATACTTAAATAAAACAACTTGATAGGAACGAATAACATTTCACCAAATAAAATTTTGGGTAATCTGAAGAGTCTGTACATCCCTTGCTTAGGGGCTGAGCAGAGAGGCACAAGGGGGATGTCAACACTGAGAGCCCAAGACAAAAAGAGATGGAACCTGGGGCCCAGACAGGAGTCAGCACTTAGGAATGCTACAAAACCAGACCAGCACAGAGGAAGCCCTCACACAGCGGGCTTCACTGTCTGTGGCAGGATACTCTGGGGCGTCACAGGGGTTACAACCACCCCACCCTGCTGCTGACTCCAGCTCTGGACTCCCCAAACCTTCACCTACAGTTCCTCTCCCACCTGCAGGCCCACAGATGTGGGGCAGAAGGCAGGTGCTATGCTGGCCAGGTGTGCCTCCCTGACCCAGCTGGGCCAGACGAATGGCAGGAGGCCCCAGGTGGCTGAGTCCTCCTGGAGGCAGCCTGCACTCTCCTGCCTGCCTTTCTCCCATCCAAACAGGCTGGGCCCAGAGGAAGGGCTTAACTGGAGCTTAACATGACCCCAGCTCCATCCTCACTAGTAATTAGGGGCTTCCCTTCACCTCCCAGGGAGAATTAATTGCAGGCTCACGGCCCCTGGCAGCTGGGAGGCCTCTCCTTCTGCAGAGGAGCTGTCTATGATCCAGAATGGAGAGTCACAAAGAAAGGGGTACAGCCCTCGGCAAGCAGCACAGTCTGGAGTCAGCCACAACCTAAGTTTTACTCTCAGACTCCTGGTATCTGCTGAGCCCCCAGCCCAGCCCCTCACACCCTCAGGCTCTTCTTTTCAACAGGCCCGGGACGGGAGGCCTTCCAGCCGCTAGCCCTGATCCACCACAGTGATGACCACTGCAGGGGTGCTCATCCTTAGTGGCAGGGCTGGGACCAGAATCCAGACCCAACTCCTGCTCCAGTGCTTAATCCAAGCATGCTCCCGGTTAAAAAGTCCTTTCCTCATTGTTCTTCTGTTGAAGTCACAGGGAGTCTTCCCTGTCTAGCTCTTAAACTGAACTCACAGCCTCTGGAGACTGTTTGACTAAAGATACGTCCTTTGGGGCCCTCCCTGGTGGCACAGTGGGTTAAAGCACAGCACAAAGAAGCTTAAACCACTTTCTCATGAGTTCGATCCCCGCCTGCCCCGGAGGTGACCACATGGCGCGGCAGACCTCTCCTGACCCACCCGCTGCACCCCTCAGCAGTGTCCTTCGTCGATCTGCCTGTTCTGCTCCCCACTCTGTCTCTGGTGAATCCTCTCACCCTCCGCATCTCTGGCCTGTACCCCAGTTCTATAAATAAATCTTAAAAAAAAAAAAAAAAGATACGTCCTCTGGGGCACTAGCCAGAGCAGGGCTGTTGAGCACTGTCCCTGCACCCCACAAGCCACAGCTACCCACAAGAACAGTGCTGTAGTTGCCCCTCAGAAACCTGTCTTCCTTGTTGGGCTAACATCTTGCACCCCAGGCCCTCAGTAAGCATGATGGTGACTCAGGGGTGGGGGAAGTAAATCCCCATTTCCAGGTTCTCCCAAAACTCTAGGATTTACCAGAACTCCCTCTCCCCTCCCCCCCACCCCTCTGCACAGACCCTCTATATTCTGAGTTGGGGAAGTGATCAGAGGCCTCCTGGAGATAAGCCCAGAGATCCAAGGATGACTCCAGGCCCCTCTCTCGCATCCAGGCAGGAGGCCCCTCTGCTTTCCTCCAAACCTTGAACATCCTAGATTATGGCTCCAGATGAACAAAGGATACACAAAATTCCAACCCAACCACTCTCCCTGCCCCACAGCAGAGCTTCTCAAGCCCTTCTGTGCTGGCTGTGCCAGCACTGGGAAGCTTAGCGATAAGCCACAGAGAAAGAGCAGGTGGAGGGGAAGGGGACAGGGCAGAGGTCAGCTGAGAAAGCCAGCTCTGTTTACTGGGCCTGTGTCGGGGCCCAGATAAACCCTCCTCTGGCCACAGGAGCAGCACAGATAGCATTACCCAGCAGCTGGATCGCAAGAACAGTTTGGCAATTAGACATCCTGCTTCCACACACTTTACTTGGGGTTATGTTTCCCGGGTAGAGTATCTCTTCCTTGTGGATTTAAAAAACCCATGGATTCTGTTTCCCAGTCTCTGGCCATTTCAGGCAGATGGCAGACGTCAATGAAGCCTCACTGCTGACCCGCAACTGAGCCCGCCCCCCCAATACCCCCCTCAGGTTCTCCTGCTGTGCTCAGCCTGAGGAGGCGGAGGTCTCCACCTCAGACACAGCTACTCTCCAGAAACTCCCCAGACGTCTGCAGGATGCCTCAGTCCAAGCAGCCCACCCACTCCGAGCCCATCTTGGGCTGCCTTCCGTCTGCTCAGCTCATTAGGCCCAGAA